TGATTTAGACCAAAAAAAAAAGTCCTATCTTCTGTTTCCTCGGTTGCCTGATTGCTTTTCTTTTTTTCCTTTTGGTAACATTTTACTTTCTGATACTCAAGTAATACTCTTTGAAGGAAACTTGGAAGATACAGGGAAAATCACAAAGAAAAAATCAAAATCGCCAGCATGGGTCCACGGCTCAGAGATTGCCATGACGGCCTCCGTCACACAGCTCTCTGGTCTTTTTTCTCTGCACAAGCATGTCGTTGTTTTAAGATTGGGGTCTTGCTGCACACAGTTTAGAACCTAATTATCTTCTGTTTTGCCACATATCATGAAAACTTCAAATGGCACTAAATATTTTTCTACACCATTTTAGTGGCTTTAGCCTATTCCATCATAGGAATGTATCGTAATTTATTTAACCAATACCCTCTTGTGGGGCATGTAATATCATTTACTTATTGATTATGCTCATTGTTTGCACCGCAAGGTGTGAGCCTCACGGGTCCGTGTTGGGGTTTTTGCAGTTAAACTTTTTCTTTGAGATCATTGTGGATCCACGTGTAGTTATGCAACATAAGACAGAGAGAATCCACGTGTCTGCCATCCAGACCCCCGGATGGTAACTTGGAAATAAAGGCAGGCTGGCCCGACGGGGACAAGCAGAGCTGTTCATGCAGAGTGAGGAGGTCGGCCACGGTACTCGCCTTGGGCAGAGACGAGGAGGCGGGCAGAGGGGTGGGAGAGCTTCGTGGGGGGCGGGGGGCTCAGGGGGGCTGTGGGCCTGAGGAGCTGGAGCTGGAGCTGAGCTTCTAGTCAGAAGCGGGGTGTCCCCTGGGATTGGGTGGGCATGCACTTTGGCTTTCTCTGGCTGGTCCTACATCGGAAGCAGGGACGGAAATCAGGGACACTTGTCAGTATTGATGGAGGCCAGCCGTTCTGGGCGATTGTTGCAGGTGGGTGTTTGGCTTCCTGGGCTGTTGCCAGAGAGAGATGTCCTGCAGGGCCCACAGAGACAGCCTGGGCTGCGTGGGCACTGTAGGGCGTGGCTCAGAGCTCTCTCTATATGTGCTCCGGCCGTTTGTGGGTTCAGTCTCTCAGTCACATCTTGGCAAAACTGTAGCACCGTAGCACAGCCAAGATATGGGGTTGACACTGTCAAGATACAGAACATTCCATGCCCTCAAGGGTCCGCCACACCCACCCCGTCCACGGGGGAGTCCAGTATCCGTCTCATTCCCTGACCGGCCTGCCTGCCGCTCTCCGGAGCCACGTCAGCGTGGACGGGACGGGCACCAGTCCGCCATGCTGAAATCATTTATCCCAAGTGACCCTCTCCTGAGGATAAATTCCCAGAAGTGGATTTGCTGAGCAGACACCTTTTAAAGGCGTTTGGATGTAGACGGCAGAACTGCCTGCGGAAGCTGAGGCCGTCTGCGCCTGGGCCGCAGGGCAGGGTCAGTCCCCAGTCACCGCCAGGGCGCCACATCCGTATTTTAAACAGCGTTTGCTCCTCAGGTTTGTGGGACATGTCTCCTTCATTCCTTTGATCAGCAGCAGTCGGTTTGAAAGCCTCTGGGGGCAGAGCCCTGGAGTCCGGCGGCTGGGCCGCGGGCTCTGACCCCGGTGCTCTGGCAGGCGGCTCCAGGCTGGGCTGTGGCCTGCTTTGCCTGCGTTGTACCTTCTGATGGTGCCCAGCAGACATGCGCTGGAGGCCACAAACGTGTTTTATTTTTGCAACCAGGAAAGACTTATCAGAAGTACTGTACATTGTCCGGTTTTGAAAAGCATGTTCCTGAGCCCAGACCTAAAGTGATTGTGTAACCAGCCGGGAACTGATGGGCAGTTCTGGCTGCCAGCGAGTTGGATCTCCAGTCCTCCGTGCCCAAGGAGGTCCCCCATCCTCCCTTCCGGGGGGCACAGCTCTCGGGGCGCAGACTGACCGGGGTGTGTTCTGGAGAGTGAGAGCCTTGGCAGCCTGTGTCCTGGGTGAAGAGAAGCCAGCGAGAGAGGCCGAGGCTGCACGGCAGGCACCCACTCTCTGTCTCCAGAATTTTCTCTCACAAGGCACGCAGCTGGGCTCTGAGCCTGGGAATTGAAACTTTTGTAGTGTTTCCTCCCTGAAACTCAGATTTCTTCGTTCACTGGTCAAGGGGCTGTGCTGGGAGCAGAGACTTCTTGCCACGGAGCTCAAGATAAAGTCAAGGCCCAGCTGAAACGGGGCTTCCAGGTGCTCAGAGCCCTTCCTCCTCCTCCTCCTCCCCCCCCACCCACCCCCATCCTCCTTACCTTCCCCTCCCCTCCCCCCTCCTTCCCCTCTCCTCCCCCACCTCCTCCCCTCCTTGTCCTCTGTCCGCCTCCCCTGAGGCAGAGGCAGGGGCTCCGAGTGTAGGTAAAATCACGCTGGAGGAGTGCTGTATGGCATTAGTTCAAAGCCGTTAGCACCTTGGGTTAATGAAGAGCTACGCTGGTGGCCCCTGATGAGCTCGTCCTTTTCTGGGGGGAGGGGTGATTGAATTGAGCAGCTTGGGGGTCAAGCTCTGCCTTCGAGGGTGGCCAAGCCCTGTGGCTGCAGCACACGCAGGCCTCCTCAGTGAACAAGACTCTGTTTCTACGCAGAATGAGGGTAAGAGTTGTGTTGCTCACATCAGGTTTGAGGGACGCAATTATTTTTAACCAAAAAGCCAGCAGAGACTTCGGACCCTCATCAATATCCGATCAGCACTTCGTTAATAAGCGTCTACCCCAGAATGGCATATCCATCCGCCCCTCCAGTCTGAGGCCTGAAGTGTCCACGCTGGAAAGATGACAGCTCGGAAGATTGGGGTCCAGGCCGGGGCCACGGCTTGACCCACAGGCCAGGGTCCGTCTCCTGGAGTCCATCCCAGGGCAGCACCCTGGAGCCGTCCGCCTTCCTTCCGTGGGACAGGCCCTCAAGGATGGGAGAGAATTCTGTTCAGGGAGACATTTGACAGCTATCAGCCATGAGCAAACCTCTGAGGAGACCCCCGCCTCCCGGAGCCCAGCTTCTAACGGGGCGGGGGCAGATGGTAAGGGAGGGACCTTCAAACTGCACGGACAGAACTCACTGGACGCTCCCTATGGGCGCCCCCGCGTGCAGAGTCTCGTAGATGACGAGGAAGGAAGGGGCAGAAAGCCCCCAGGGCTCCTAAACCCACAGGGGCCATATACCCGCTGTCTTCGGCCCAAAGGCAAACCGGGCGGCTATGTCCTCCAGCCCAGGCTGCCCTGGTGGGTTCTTCTGTTGTGACTGCCCTGCACTTGCTCACTGCCTTCGGGTGGTCTTTCTATTATGTTTCGCAGAACGAGGGGGTAGACAGTGAGCCTCGTCCCAAAGCAGGCAAGAGGTGTTCACCCCATAAAGCGCCCTCCTGGCTGTCTCCTACGCCGAGCCACGGGGCACGCTGGCTGCAGCTCATGAGTCTGTGGTGAAAAGCAAAACCCTCAGTGTGGCAGTATTTTCATGAAGATAAATGGATTTAATGCAAAGGACTGAGCTTCATTCTTTCTAATATTTTGGTGTTAAATATTTCCTTACATAAAACACCTGAGCTAAGTGTATACTTTAATGTCTTCCCTGGGTCGAACAAGAAGGTGCCAACCCCGTATTGGATCCCCTAGGTTTTTTTGTTTTTTGTGGGGTTTTTTGCTTGAGGGAGATTAGCTCTGAACCAACATCCATGCCAATCCCCTATTTTTTTGTATGTGGGATACCTCCACAGCATGGCTGGTGAGTGGAGCAGGCCTGCACCCAGGGTCTGAACCCACAAACCTAGGCTGCCAGAGCAGAGCATGTGAAACATTAACCATTCTGCCATGGGGTTTGCTCCCCTATACTTTTTTTTAAAACCAACCTGGTCCCTAAAATCCAAAAAAGAAAAAGCAAGGAGCTGAGATCAGCAAACCATGGGCCCAATCCGGCCCACCACTTGTTTTTATAAATAAAGTTTTATTGGAACACAACCACACCCGTTTGTTGGCAATTCATCTGTGGCTGCTTTCACACTATTACTGCAGTGCTGAGGAGTTGGGACAGAGACCTCGTGGCCCAAGGAGCCTAAAATATCTACTCTCCAGCCCTTTACAGACAAACGTCTGCTGGCCTCACATTCCTTGTGCACTTTCCTGTGCTGCTTTGGTCTGGATATTTTCTTTTGATGTGTTTTCCAACTCATTAACTCTCTCTTTTGTTCTATTTAATCTACCCTTAAACCCATTCAAGTTCTTAATTTTAGTTACGTTTCAAATATGTTTTCTAATTATTTTTTTTATAATTTCTACTTCTATGACAAAATTTTCTATCTTATCGGTTTAATTCCTTGACCATATTAAGGTCAGAGGTGTTTGCTTTTAAGTCTGAGTCTGACTCCTCTGTTATCTGACTCTCCTCTGGGTCTGGGTGTTGTCGGTTTCTTCTCTTTGTTTTCTGTCAGCTTTTGTCTTCTTGTATGCCTAGTGAATTAAATGTTGCACTGTGAGTAAGAAAAATTGTAGAGATAATTTGAGGTTATGAAGGATGGTATCTTTCTCCATAGAGGATTTACTTTTGCTGCTGGAAGGGGACACTAATCTCGGGTCATCTTAACAAAGTCACCCTGTTTAGAGTATGTGTCATCTGTCAGGACTATTTATTCCCAGGTCACTCACACTCCTAGGGTGCTGCACTTTGGGCTCAGACCCAAAGACCAGACACCCTTCCAGGGGTCCTCCCCGGCAAACCCCAACCTCCGATGCTTTTTACTCCCATTCTCACAAGTCTGTTGAAAGTTCAGAGCAGCTCCTGAGCTACCAGCAGCCAGTTCTAGAATCAGCAAGTGTCTCGAGAGAAGAGGTGGCCCCAGATATCAGGTTCTCTTTTTCTGCCAGCCCCCGTAAATGCATCCAGTCTCCAAAGAGACCTGTGATCAATTGGTGATGTCTGCCCTGGGCGTGGGAATGGCGGCAGCAGCGTATATGATAGATAATTTCCATCTGAGCTGCTTTCTCTGTTCCAGGCACCTATGTGATGACGGTCACAGCCAATGATGCTGACGACAGCACCACAGCCAACGGGATGGTGAGGTACCGAATCGTGACCCAGACCCCACAGAGCCCATCCCAGAACATGTTCACCATCAACAGTGAGACAGGGGACATCGTGACAGTGGCGGCTGGCCTGGACCGAGAGGTGAGGCAAGCGCCGTGGGGCCAGGGAGCACAGCCTCGCCTCTGCCACCTGTGTGGGAGACGCTGGCCCCAGCCCTGGCTGTGTCCCCCTGAGACCTCTGGTCCATGAAGGACATCAGAGCCCGGGGCCAGCCTCTCCAGCGGGGGGTGGGAGGGCACAGTTATGGAGGAGGCAGGAAGCCAGCCCGGGGACGCCTGTCTCCTGTCACCTGGAGGGAGATGGTCTCAGCAGCAGATTCCAGGCGCTCACCACCCACCCTCTGGGTGAGTCCCCAGCTGACCCCATGGAGGCTTCTGGAGCAGCTCCTGCGGGCGGGCCGGTGTACTGGCGAGGGGGCGGGCTCGGAGAAGCAGGGGCGAACCTCCGCGGTTCTCAGGCACAGGCACAGTGGGCGCGGGGCGGGGAGGTCCGACCACCCTCCGGCAGCCTGAGCACCCGCCATGACTTGGCGCCCACATGGTGGGCCATCCCACCACAGCCCGCTGTGCAGCCTGAGATGGAGTGGGGCGCACAGAGGGCAGCGCTTTCCACTCTGGCTGGAACAATCAGGCCACCTTCACTTCTTTGGTGCCGGGTACTGTGACCTCCCACCTCCGTAAACCCCACGTGGCTGGTGCATCTGTTACGTGAGCCCTCCTCCACCCATCGTGCAGCCCCGAGCGTCCCCGGCCCAGAGCCAGACCCCAGAGGAGCAGCCTTGGCCGCAGGTGGGTCAGGGCAGGTGTGCTCCTGCCACAGGGGAGGCACTGTCCCACTGAATGCAGGGGTGTGTCCAGGCCTGGGCCACGCATCCCCATCTGGACAGATGGCACTGTCCCCATCACCCGCCTCGGTGCCCTGTAAGATTCCTCAGCAGCTCCAGCTGACAGCCCCCCACTGGCTGCACCGAGTCCCATAAGCTCCCCAGACGAGCAAGCGTCGCCTCCTTACCCCGCCTCCAGGCCTCGCCCCTGACCTCCTGTGTGCTCTGTGGCCAGAGCCCAGCGTATCCTGGGACACAGTTCACCTGCTGAAGCGTGTGACTCTTGGGACCCAGGAGGAGCCCCTGTTGAGCTCTGAGCAAACAGGGCTGCAATGCCTATGGGCGGGGGCAGGGGGGTGTGTTTATAGAGCCTGCTGCCTGGCAGCGCTCATCTCGGTCCTCTGACTCCCCCTCCCTGAAAGCGGGGGGCCTCGTCCTCGGGTCTGGGGGAGCCACCTCGAGCTGGGCCAAGCTGTACCGCGGGCTTGCTAAGAGCAGTTTGCAGGGTGGAGGCTGCAAGGAAGCGGCAGGTTCTGCCTTCCCAGACTGAGTCCCCACACCCGGTGGTGCTGGCAGGCTTGGTGAGCTGAGGGGACTCCAAATGTCTCGAGTCTAGACCTCGGACTCCGCAAACCTGCCAGGACTTCTCTTGCTGTGTTGTCACCACCTGCACCGTCCAAATCAGTAAATGCCCGGCCCCCAGGAAGGGCACGGGGTGCTTTTCTTGGAATTCCTAAACGGTACCGGGTAGAGCACCAGGGTGACGGGTGGGGTGGAGAGGCTGCTGGAAAGGTGATTCCTGCAGGCTCGGGGCTCAGCAGGAGGCAAGGTGGCCCCAGGGCCAGTGTGGCTCAGGACTCAGCCGAGCAGGAGCCTCGCCAGCTGCATGGCCGTGGGCACGTCAGAGGCCACCCCCGAGCGCCAGCCACAGCGCCTGCTATCCGTGAGCGGGGCACAGCATCACTGGCCTCACGGGCTCATGCAGGGACCACAGAGGTGGCGGGGTGGCGGGGCAGTGCCTGGCAGAGGGGCTGCACGATGGGGCTTTATTGGCACAATTTAAGTATGTTTTCTCCAACTGCCTGCTGGGGGTGGAGTTATGCAATGAGGGAGGTGGGCCGGAGCCCCAGGGGCTCAGAGCGCGCCTCGGTCAGTCCCAGCGCCTCCATCTCGTGCACCAGAGGACCCCTCAAGGTGCCTCGCCCTCCTGGTGACCGTGAGAGGCACCCGCTCTGCCAGGATGAGGCCCTGCAGGTGGGGATTGGGGCAGGGGCTGCCTGTCCCAGGCGTGGAAGGCTGCTGCTGTTGGCTGGGAGGTGGGCCCACGGACCGTGATGGTGACACCATGTGGGGAGGGCAACTGGCGAGGCAAACCAGACACCATCTCCCATCTCCACCTGGCCTGGGGTCCCTTGCCTGCCCTGGGGAGGAGTGCATCCTCCTTTGCCACTCAGAGATGGTGAGCAACGGGTATTTCCTCCAGGCTGTGGCCTCACCCAGGCGTTTTCACGTCTTTTGAGAGAACAGCGTGGTGTGACTGGGGCCTGTGCATGCACACGCTCACACACACTCCTGTGCACACACACGTCCTTCTCAGCGACAGCCTGGGACACGTTGCTCTGGGGAGACTCCTGTCTGCGGTCCAGAGTCAAGGCTGTGCTCCGGCACAGTGGCCCCGAGCAGGAGCAAGTGCCCCGTTTTCTCCTTCCTCCTTTAGCAAACACGGTCAGACGTGCTGGGTGAGGCAGGGGGAGTGGGCTGGTTGGATGGGTGGCTATCCCCCGGGGCCAGGCAGAGTGGGGAGAAGAAACTAAATGAAAATGCTGCAGCAGACCACATGTGTGTGCGGTGGACTGCATGTGTGAGCAGAGGATTGCGTGTGCATACAGAGGGTTGCGTGTATGTGCAGTAGATTGTGCGAGTGTGGTGGGTTACATGTGTGTGCTGTAGGTGACATTGTGCAGTGGGTTATGTGTGTGCTGTGTGTTACATGTATGTGCAGTGGATTAATGTGTGTACTGTGGATTACATATGTGTGCTATCGGTTACGTGTGTGCAGTAGATTACATGTGTGTGCAGTGGATTGCACGCACAAAGTGTCACTGTGGGCAGATAAGATCGCTCTAACTATGGAGAAATCAGGGGAGACTTCTCAGAGGAGGTGGCCTTGCCCTGAGCCTTGGGGGGCTGGTAGAATTGATCACATTCTCTGCTCTTTGGGACTGATGGCCTGCACTGCTTTTCCTGAGGGCTGCACATCGTACATCTAACTTGCCTCAAGATAGCTGCCACTCAGCAGTTTCCTTCATTCAATCAGCAGCTTTCACTGAGTGCCTACTGTGTGCTGGAAACTGTCGTGGGCGCTGGGACAGCAGTGAACTGAGCAAGTGGCGTCCTGCACATGTGGGCCTCGCTTTGCAGGAGAAACAGGCAGGGGAAAAAATCACCGACTAAACAAATAAATTCAGGGGGTGGCGTGGATGAGAAAGACACAGAGGGCACCGTGTGTGGCCCATGGGTGGGGGCGGTCAGGGGGACCCCTCTGGGGCTGCCCCATCCTCCTTCGGGGGGGGCATCATTCGAGTTCCCCAGGGCTCTTGTAGCAAAGGACCACAGGCTCGGGGCTTAAAGCGAGAAATGTATTCCCTCTGCGTCCTCAGTGGACACCAAGGAGCGAGCGGGCTGCAGGCAGGGACCCTCACTCTTGCGCTCCCCCGGCTCCCCCTCGGGTCCCCCAGTGTTCCAAACCTCTGCTCCACGTACAAAGGGGCTGCCAGCCTCCTCAAGCCCCACAGAGACACAGGGGCTCACCAGGTGACCCGAGACCACGGGCACAGAGGCCAGGGGAGGCCCACTGCCGCCCTCGTGGTTCTCGGGGTACACCTCTGTCCTCAGCCTGCGGGCGGGGAGGTGGCAGGCGGGAGCTGGGGCACTGCATCTCAGGAGTCTGGGCTGCTCTGTGCAGAGCAGGGGGTCACGCTCGGGATGCAGCGACCTCCCTCCCGGCAGATTCCCGCCCCTGCCCCAAGAGCCTCGGCCGCTGCGTCACTGGAGAGGGGCTCTTCAGTATTGGATAAGCGCGGTTTCCAGCGCGGGAAACAGGTGGGAGGGCAGTTCTGCCCGCCAGCTGCGGTCCCGCGCTCAGCCGTCATCTGCTCTGTCTGAGATAATAAGCAGCTGGGCCACAGGGCCCTGCTGGGAGCCGTGGCTGGCAGTGTCGAGCCTTCTAGAAGGAAAGAGGCCTTCCCGGGGCCTCCAACTAGAGGAGAAAGGAGCACTGTGCAGAGGGCCCTTCTGGAAAGCTGCAGGGGAGGGCAAGGCCTTCCAGACCTCAGAAAGCTCAGGGAAGCTGCTGGTTCTTAAGAACCAAGGGCCCAGGTCTGGATACCGAGCTTCAGTTTCCCCAAGCTGGCTTTGGGAGGGAGGGATGGACAGAGCCCCACTAAGAACAGTGACAGAAGGAACGACCGCCACGTCTCGTGAGCATTTCTGGCTACTTGTTTCCACTCTTTTTGCAAACGCGTGCCGAGTGCCCGCTGGGGGCAGCCCTCTCTAGACCCAGGGGTGCCTCGAAGACCCCCAGAAGCTCAGCACGGGCCAGGCGCTGGGCACTGCAAATCAGCACCCTCGCGGCAGCCCCCGAAGGAAAATCCCGGAACAGTGTCTCTTTGCAGATGCGAAAGGTGAGGCTGCAGTGGCTCGTCGTGGCCGGGTCGCTGGGTCGCTGAGCTCAGGTTCCAGCTCTCCCACCCGTGCAGGCTGTAAACTCAGATGCCCATGGGGCCCTTCCCAGGGATGTAAGGTGCCCGAGGCCTGGGAGGGGCTGCCTGCCCCGGCGGACTGGAACAGACAGCGGGCAAGGCTCCTGGTGCGACGGTTTTTAAAATCCCGTTCAAGGCAAACGGGACACGTCTGTGGGCCACATGGGCCTCGGAGCTCCCCGTGGGCACCCCCAGCTCCCTCCATGACGGCCAGCACTTTTGGTCACAAGGAAGCTGAGTTTTCCCTATCTGGGAAATGGGAAGGGGTGTGGGGCGAGGTGTGTGCAGCCTGGAGTGGAGGGAGGCATCCAGCTGTGCCTCTGCTGACCTGGCGCCCCCTGCCCCACCTGGCTTCTTCCCAGGGGACCCAGGGGAGGCTCAGAGCCAGGTGAGCCACGGTGTCCACCTCCAGACCAAACACTGGCACCCAGCGAGATCTGGGCTTCAGACAAACAGCAGATCATTTAAGCATAAGTACGTCACGGATACTGCAGGGA